TGTGTGTGTGTGTGTGTGTGTGTGTGTGTGTGTGGATGGGTTTTTCCTACAATGTGGGGACAATTTTAACAAAAAAAGCAGCCTCATGGGGACCGAAGTACATCGTGGAGACCAATGCCAGGTCCCCACGGGTCCAAATGCAAGTTATGGGTTTGGGGTTAGGCTTATGACCAAGGTTTAGGTTAGTTTTAGGGTCAGATAGGTACCTGTGAGGTTAATTTTAGAGTATATGGTCAGGGTTAGGATATAAAGGCTAAAAAACATGAATTGGAGTCAATGGAAGGTCCCCACGGGGTCGAGAAGCAAATGTGTGTGTGTGTGTGTGGTGGTTGTGGTGATGGGGCATGAAGTTATTTTTAAAAACCAAAGAGGGGCCCATCAGAAAAGTTTTGGGAACCACTGACACAGCACCAGACACCCATTTCGGCCGCTTGCATCTGCAATCTTGTTCTTTTGGTCACTACCCAAAACTCGTGACCACAGATGAGGGTAGGAACGTACGCCTTCTGGCTCAGCTCCTGCTTCACCATGATGGATCGGTACAGATGACAGCACCAATCCTCCTGCCGATCTCCCGCTCCATTCTTCCCTCATTCATGAACAAGACCCCGACATACTTAAACTCCTCCACTTGGGGAGCTTTGTTTTCAAGGTTTAACCAAAAACAGTTACAACTCAGTTACTTCTCAACATAACATGATCTTGGTTTAAAACTTTAGCACAAAAGGCGGTGAGTGGTGGACATGCCGCCTTTTGTGCTAGTCCAGGGGGGCCCAAACATTTTCCCTGAGAGGGCCAAAATTCAAATCAATCTGAGGGCCGCGGGCCAAATGCAATTATATGAGAAATGCAAATACTTCTTAAGTTGTTTTATTTTTTATGATTAAGCAGCCAGTGTGGTTGTCCACATTCATTAGTTTTTTTTTCAGTCCATGGACATGGAGATAATTCAATGTGTGCTCAGGCAGCAAAGGCTCATGGGACTTTTCGTAATTTAAAATATGAGTATATGGGGTTTTATAAGATGTGCAAATCTAGACATGGGCTTAAATATAACCTAAACGTCTCTTATAGTTACTTGGATTTTATATTTAATCTCAACATAATTATAATCTAGTAACCAGGACAATTGCTGGTGGGCTAAATCAAAGGGCTAGCGGGCCACATTTGGCCTGCGGGCCCCACTTTGGGCACCTCTGTGCTGGTCTCTGACCTGTATGCTATGAATTTAAAACCACAGTACTGCTGAGGATATCAAAGGAGTGAAGAATGCTGAGAACTTCTGTTACAAAAGGCCTTCAATTTTAAATTAGTAAGTTACAAAGTTCCAGAAAAAAAATGAAATATAATTAAAACATTACTTTGAACTTTAAATTTAATTATTTTAGTGTTGTAATCAACATCAGTTTCTGTGAGTCTCATGTAATCTGGAAAACAGTTCTGAACAAAGTTTTTTCTTGGGGTGGGGGGGGGGAGATCCAGCCGGGCTGGGCTGGGCTGGCTCATTGTGTCATGTGATCCTGCAGGGAGGTGTTTGTTTGGCTGGACAAATACTTTGCCAACATCCGGCCTGCAGCATTTGACAGCAGACCTTCTTCCTGCAGACTTGTGTGTTTCTTGGGAGCGTATCAGCATCACCCCGGTTCTGTTTGGCTGCTGTTCTGATCATGGGAGACACTCAGTCTGCACAACAGAAGGCCAGAGACCATGCAGCAGCAGCAGCAGCAGCAGCAGAGGACGAGGAGGAGGAGGAGGAGGAAGAGGAGGAGGAGGAGAGCAGAAAAGTGAAGGATGCTGAAATTGGGCCGCATACGGACGACAAGGTATGAGCTGATTTTTACTTGGCTTCAAAACATGAGTGATGCATCCTCTTTTCATCTTTAGCTGTTTGATTGCAATGGAAGCTGCAGAAATGCTGATGATTTGTTGTTGTCAGGACGTTGAAAACAAGTCCTTGTTCTAACAATGACCACATACAACTTTAAGTTTCAGTTAAAACAAACAAACAAGAAACACTTCCTGTGAGAATGCAGCACGAACAGAGTCCTCATATTTGAAGAGAAAATAAGTGTGAGCTGAATAACAGCTGACCTTTAATTTAAATTCAAATATTTAAAGAAGAGACACACAAGGAGCAGGACAAACAGAAAAACAACACAAGATATAAAAACTACAAAAGGAACTTAAAAGGAGAAATTGAAATACAAAAGTAAAACAAAATAAACTTCTAAGCATCTAAAAGCATAACCATTTGGGTACGATGAATAAAAAAATAGAAAGTATCCATTAGGACACATAAGAGGACAAGAAAGCATAAAGAGACAAATAAAAATAACATGCTGAAGTGGTTTTTGAAAAGCATAAAGTTTAGTAGGATTTGAAGAAATCTTGATGCATTTTAATTAGAAAACATGATGTAAATAAAAGATAAACAATTTAAAAAATATATTAAAGTTACAGAAACCAAAACTCAGACCTGCAACACTGAATATTTTCACACCTGAGTGGCTGAAAAAGCTGAAAGTAAAACTAAAGCTGTTAGTCCAAAACATCAAGAATAAACGTAACAGGAAAAGATTAAAGTTTTATAAAAGTTACTTTTTTAAATGTCATGTTCCAGGAGGAAATAATGAATACATTCTTATTCATAAATGACCAAAACAGATGTTTTAAACTTTTGTCTTTTAACAAATAATTGTTTATTAATACACTGGTTGTTCAAATATCTGTCCTTCACATTTTTTTCTTGTTGCAAATAATTTTATTTCACTGAAGGGTGTATAGAAGAACTCCAGCAGAGCTCAGGAGAGATCAGATGTCCTCTCTGTAGCACTCAGCAAAAAGTAACATTGATTTTTTCATCATTACCTGCTGAGCAGGAAGTCCTCCTGACAGGAGGAGGTTTAACTCTGTAGATCCCAGAGGATTTCTTGACAGACTCGGCTTTAGGTCGGTAATAAACCCTGCAAATTCTGTTTACTAGAAAAACATGAACTTTGAACTTTTGGAACCTGGTAATCCTCTAAATCTTGTTGTGTTTTGTTTTTGTTATCTTCCTTCTGCTTTACCTGATCAGTTTAGACATGATACAGTGGAGAAAAACACATTTTACCTCTAAAGGACAATAGAAACAACCGTTTAAACATAAACTGTTCATGAATTGACTATTTTTGGTACATTTGGCAAATTAGTTCACATGTTTCTTATTTTGTAAACACGGCTCAGACTCCAAACTAATCTGTCTCATGGACTAGAGATTTAGACAATTAGGACTGTTAAGTGAAAGGTCGCCATCAGTGACTGGACTGCTTTGTATGGTTTAAAAAAATACTGGACTTGAGACACTGGAAAATCTATTGAATTACAAATGGAAATACTTTGTTTCCTTTCACAGGCAGTAAAACCATGATGCATTATTAAAAAGGCTGCAAAGCCTCTTTATGACTCCTCAAACATTACCCTGTTTTGATTCACATATCCTTCTAAACCCTTTATCAAAATGTGTAACTAATATAGAAAAGTGTGCTATGACCTTTTTTGTGATGCAAAGATCAAATTTCCAACAACAAAATATGTAAGAAGTTGACAGTAACAGGAGTTTGGAGCTCAGTAGCCAAGATACGCTACAGTAGAAACATCTTTCAAAGTTTCACAAAAGCACAGAAAAACGGACTGGTATTTAGATTTTTTTTTTTTTACAGTTTTTACACCATCACTGTTAAAGTAAAAAGTGGCACAATTCACCCCACTCACTCTGGTGCACCCCTGTGAACAATCACTTTGGATCAGAAATATAGCATTATAATAAAATTATAGCTTTCTGAAAAAAAGCTGTCTTGTGGCACAACTTGCCCCCGGTGTTGGATAAGTTGTGGCATTGATACTATAAAGAACAATGTGTAACGTTGGCAGATCATTTAGCAGAATTTAAGATGATCACTAATAAAAATTATTTAAAACACAACTAAATCATTAAAAACTAAGAAGTTGTTGGATTTTTTTAACATATTAACCTACAAGTTGAGGCCGGTTGAGGCAGACATGTTTCTACAGAAGCTCGGAAAGGACAAATAAGAACTATTTGTGTTGTAATGAACAACTGACCACTATACTTCATTGGTAATTCTACATATTACATTTTCTAAATTAATCCTACCACTTGAAATAGGCGGAGCTTCAATTCACACCTCTGGGAGAACCTTGAACACGTTCCGGGGGAGGTGGGGGACATCGAGTCTGAGTGGGCCATGTTCCATGCCTCCATTGTCAAGGCGGCTTACCTGAACTGTGGCCGTAAGGTTGTCGGTGCCTGTCATGGTGGCAACCATAGAACCTGCTGGTGGACACCGGCGGTGAGGGATGCTGTAAGGCTGAAGAAGCAGCCCTGTTGGGTCTTTTTGGCTGGTGGTACTCCGGAAGAAGCCAATAGGTGTTGGCAGTCCAAGTGGACTGCGGCTCGGATGGTCACTGAGGCAAAAAACTCAGGCGTGGGAGGAGTTCGGAGAGGTCATGGCAAACAGCTTCCGTACGGCTTCGAGGTGATTCTGGTCCACTATTCTGCATCTCGGGGGGGGGGGAAGCGGTTCGCCACCAACAATGTTTATGGTGGGGATGGTGTGCTACTGACCTCAGCTTGGGACGTTGTGGGTCGGTGGGTGAAATACTTCGAAGACCTCCTCAATCCTACCGACATGTCTTCCCATGAGGAAGCAGAGCCTGAGGAACCTGGGTGGGACTCTCCAATCTCTGGTGGTCACCGAGATGTTTAAAAAGCTCCTCGGTGGCAAGGCGCCGGGGTGGATGAGATACGCCCGGAGCTCCTTAGGGCTCTGGATGTTGTGAGGTTTCGCTGGTTGATGTGACTCTACAATATCGCATGGAAATCAGGTCTATTCAGGGGTCCTGGAGAGGAGGGTCTGTCAGATAGTCAAATCTCAGATTCAGGAAGGGCAGAGCGGTTTTGGTCCTGGTCGTGGAACAGTGGACCAGCTCTACACCCTCAGCAGGGTCCTGGAGGGTGCATGGGAGTTCAACCAGTCTACATGTGTTTTGTGGACTTGGAGAAGGCGTTCGACCGTGTCCCTCAGGGACTCTTGTGGGGGGTACTCTGGGAGTATGGGGTACCAGGCCCATTGATACGGACTGTTTGGTCCCTGTAGGACCGGTGCCAGAGCTTGGTCCGCATTGCCGGTAGTAAGTCAGGCTCGTTTCCGGTGAGAGCTGAACTCCTCCAAGGTTGCCCTTTGTCACCGATTCTGTTCATTATGTTTATGGACAGAATTTCTAGGAGCAGCCGAGGTGTTGAGGGGATCCTTTTTGGTGACCTTAGGATCACATCTCTTCTTTTTGCAGATGATGTGGTCCTATTGGCTTCATCAGATAGTGATCTCCAGCTCTCGCTGGAGCGGTTCACAGCTGAGTGTGAAGCGGCCGGGATGAGGATCAGTGCCTCCAAATTCGAGACCATGGTCTTGATCTGGAAAAGGGTAGGGTGCCAACTCCGGGTCAGGGAGGAGGTCCTAGACGTTCACGCCCGCTTTTGTGTCAAGTCTCCTGTCAGAAGTTCAGAAGCAGTTTTTTCAAGCCTATTGTGCTACAAGAACATCTCAAAGCTCAGTTTTCTTAAAAGGGTGGTATTATGCTAAATGGACCTTTGAGCTTTATACTGTATTATGTTATTCTCTCTCAAAAACAGAGTGTTGCTTTGACTCATTCATGCAGGTTTGAGAAGTCTGAATCTCCTGTGGTAGCCATGTGGAGCTGCCTCAATATGTGCTGGCACAAAGCACTGCCTATTTGTACATAGCTCCTCCCAGGAGCTCTGCTGAGCTTACCTATGGTTGGAAGTTATTGAGAAGACAAAGGCCAATTTCAAGGTGTATAAACAGGCTATGCAAACTCACTCATTTTTGATACATACCGATTTTGTTGTTGTTGTTGTTGTTGTTGGTGTGTGTGTGTGTGTGTGTGTGTGTGTGTGTGTGTGTGTGTGTGTGTGTGTGTG